TCCTCTCTGGCTCACGGTTTCTCCAGTACCATCCTACATATCTGGGAAATGATTTTTTCTGGGCAACACTACTCGTACTTGATTAGAACACCTCGCCGATTAAAGTACCTCGCATAGCGACGCTCACCGTGCGTGTATGTGGTCATGATGGCGTCTGGCGTTGTCTGATCGTGTCAATTCGAATTCATAAATCTGGGTCGATTCATACCGTACCTAACGCAGCCTAAACCGTGTGTTGAGCTCGAGTTTGATTTTTGCGGATCATCCTACTTTTGTCAATTTGGCACAAAATTCGGACAAGTCCGAAACCAGCTCTACCCACCAAAACGTATCGCAAGGATGGACGAGGGTACGGCGAGGGCTCGATGGACGACGGCTCATCGGTCTGCTAGAGGAAGTGATCCGGCAGCGCCTCTTAACGCGGTCCAGCGTCCTGGCAGCAAGCATGGCACGAAGCGCACGGCCGAGTCGATGCTCAAGTTCCTCGGCGTCACGGGCAGCCTCGGCGTGCACTACAGCAACTTCACGCGGACGCCGGCCAAGAAGCCGCGCACGGACGCCGGCATCGCCAAGAAGCTCCTCGACGAGTTCCTCTGGGACCTCGAGCTCGTCGAGGCCGACGCGGTCAAGTGCGAGCTCCTCATGCACACGTGCGACCAAGAGCTCTCGGCGTACAACGCGCTGCATGCGGAGATTGACCAGAGCGTGTTGGCCGTGACGCAGGACATTGACCGACTCAAGGGCATCGTCGCGGACGAAAAGCTCATCCGGAGCTACAAGGAAGAGTACGAGGCCAAGGCGCGGGACGTCAACAAGCTGCCGTCCAAGGCGGCGAGCGATGCGGTCATCGAGGGCCTCGAAGACCAGCTGCGGCAATCGACGGACGCGCTTGCGAGCGTCTCGGACCGCGTTGACCGGCGCGCCAAGGATTTCGCACTCCTTATGCGCGCGATCCGGGACCTCCAGTGCATGCACAAGGAAGAGGCTGCGGCCGATGCCGCCCCCGACGACGCGGAAGTCGACGTCGAGGACAAGGACGACGACGACGCAGCGTACGAGAAGGAGTCCAAGAAGCGGTCTCGCCACGAGAACGACGCCGCCAACGTGGGCACGCCGCCTCCAGCGGCGTCGGACGACGAGCACGAAAAGACCGAGTAAGGAAGATGCCACGACGTCCTTTCCACGGTCTTTATTGTTACGTGGTCCACTACAAACTATCGAGGTCGACCCGCGCCTCGTCCATCTTGCACACGTCTTCGTACTCGACCTTGTCCAGCGTCCGGCCCCTACCGATGCGAGGATGAGATGACGCGGCTGCTCGTGGTGGAAGCAGAATCGTTTACTTGTGAGGGCCCGTTGTGAGGAGCACCGAGACAGCAAACGCTTCTTCGTTGATGGACACGAGCGTGCCGAGGTGGCCGCGCCCGAGCCCATTGACGATCTTGACGGGCTTGCCTACGAGCGGGATCACGGTCTCCAAGTCGTCCTGGAAGCGATGAGTGGCATCTATGTGGACGGTAGCAGTGTGTGTACCTGGTCGACGCGGACAATGTCGCCCGAGTCGTGGACCTTGATGTCAGCGCCAAAGAGCTCAATGACCTTGGGCACAGTACCCTTCTTCTTGTAGTACCTGCACGAGATCCTGGGATGAGCTACGACGAGAGAGGATGCACCAACGTACGCGCCATCGCCAACCTTCTTGTCGACGATCTTGACGACAATGTCCTTGGCGACCCAGTGGTCCTTGCGGCTGTTGCGCGCTTCTTCTGCATCCCGGCGTTGGCGTTGACGGGCTTCTTCGGCCATGATCGCGTCCATGGCCGACCGCTTCTGGCTCCCACCTTGCATGTCATGCGTCGTCGCTGGTCGCTTTGTAGCGCTTTCGTCGTCGACGCCAAATGCGACGGCTGCTGACCGCTTGATGCTGCCAGGCGCGGCCGTTGTCGTCTTCTTGGTCGATGGTGCGAGCGAGAGCGAGACCTTCTCGTTCGGGTTCCACGCCTTGGCTTCGACAGTCTCGTCCTTGTCGACAGAGCCGAGCTTGGCCCGCGCTTCTTCGACCTGGGCTTGGATGAAGCGCCGATTGCGCTCTTCGTGGTCCATCTCGGCCTTGTGCTTGCGCTGGAGCTCCTCTTGGCGTGCCATGGCGGCGGGGTCGCGGTCAATGTACTGGATGTACCAGCCCTTCTCCGTCTCGTCGACGATGCACTTGCCCGTCTTGCCGAGGTACTGCACGAAGCCACTCAGGGTGGTCCAGCGCGTCGCGTTCATGTGGATGTGGTTCTTGTCGCGAATGTACTCGTTGTACACAACGTGGGCGCGGACGCGCTTGGTCGTGTGGCGCTGGCGGAGGTTCGCCATGAAAGCGGCCTCGAAGAGCTCACTGTAGCCCTGGATGAACTTGTTCGGGTTGCTCGCGACGATGAGCATCTGCCGCTGATGCGCATCGCTCGTCATGTGCTGCTTGAAGCCGTTCTCGTCTCGGCACTGCTTGGAGCACACTTGGCAGTACCATCGCAGCTTCTGGAGGCCCTTGGACTACGCGCAGCATGACGACCTTGAAGACACACACATCGAGCGAGAGGATCGTGCGCTACCTTTTGCCGGTTGTCGATGGCCTTGGGCGTGAGGAAGCCGTGTTTCGCCATGGTCCTCCGCTTCTGTCCTTTGGAATGGAAACGCCAAAATGTTATAACGAGTCCTAAAAAGTGTTTAAACACTACATGAGTTTTACGCCTTTCTTCACCAGGTTAAACGGGTTAAACGAGGTACTCCCCAAGGTAAACGAGCGAGAAGACGCCTTGAATGTGCCTGTAGGGGTCCTTGACCAGCAAGACGTCATACTCGTAACAACCTCCTCGTTACCCAGCCCACGGGGATTATTTGTCTGACTGTCCCATTTTAAATTGGTTGAAATGATTTAGGTGCCGTTTTACTTGCCTTTGAATTGCCTTTTACGCCCGTTTTAGTCGCATTTTGCATGCGAAAAGCAAGTAAAAGGCACGCAAAAGGCAACTCAAAGGCAACTCAAAGGCAACTCAAAGCCTTTTCCTGCCAAATGCGGAATGGATTAAGCAGGCCCGCTCGGCACCCGGCTTGCTTTTCTTTCTACTCATTTGCTTCTTCTGACTCTATATTTGACGT